TGGAAAGCATATATTTTTTTCCACTATATCTCTAGCTAAGTCCACTCAATTTATTTGGAATTATTCAACTTTCACACAATTTTAAATTTAATTAAGCTTAACCAAGTAAGTGATGATGGTTTATTAAATTACCTGTATGTATCACTTTTCTTTCCTGGCATTCAGGAAGAGACCTTTTCCTGTGATTATGTGCTTTTTCACGAAATCTTACTGTTACTACTAAACTTGAACTGCCAGAATTGTAATTGAGTTCAGGGAAAGATTTGGTTTCCACGAGGTTCCCAAACTTTTTGTTGACAAAATGGTGGACAGCTTTTCTGTGGTCTTTGTTTGTATCTGGTTTAAAGGTAAACTTGGAATTTTCTTTCTTAGCATCTAGATATTTAAAAAAATCAAAAGCTTCTTCTTGGGATACCAACTGACAGAGTTCTTTATACTCAAGATTTGGTTTTACAACAATTTCACTATTTTTTCCTACTGTTATTAAAAACGGATATTTCTGTCTAATAGCACTATGTAAAATAGCCCTCTGGCTTTTGTCAAGAATTCTGCCTAATGAGAATTCAGGAGATGGTCCAATTAGCTCAGTTTTAGAATTCCACTTCTCTTTTATATCATAGGCAAACTGATGCAGTAATTCATTTGTTTTTTCATCTAAAATGGAACTTAATACATCAGCTTTATCTTCACATTTGCAAGTTCCATCACTGACGGTATCTTCCTTTCCTAAAGCAGACTGATGATTTTGGTAACCACTGGAACACTTCATCAAAGTAGTAGATTCTTGGTTACTTCCATCTTCAGAGGATGAATCTTGAAGATCTAGTTTTTGTTTTTTGGCAAAATTATTTGGCTCAAGTGGTATTTTGCTAATCTTAGAATTAGGTTCATCAATGATTTTATTAACTAATTGTCCCTGTTCATCAATCTCAATAACAATAAAGTCACTTGGTGAGTTCTTTATAGTGCCATGAAATCCAATATGATCATTAATGAAGCACAAAGAACTAAAGCTGATTCTATAACCTATATCCTCTTCCATTTTTAAATAACAATGTCTACAAAAGAAACAAAGAGGCAATCAGTTAAAAAAAAGAGAAGCTGTGAATAACAAAAAATGAGTATGTTAGGATTTATTTCATTGTCTGCTTTTAATTTTGAATCCTTTTCAATGATATTAATAATTTACCACTCTCTTATACCAAATTAGTAGGCAAGCTATTTTTGATACAACTAATTATTTGTAACTTGAATCTTCCCTCACTCTAGATGTCCACATATTATCCAGATTAAAATGGATCAACTTCAAATTTACCTTAGAAATATCATTTGCAGGCCCATAAATAAGATGAGAGCATAGAGCTGTTTACAATGATTTGTATAAACCTCATCCCTAGAACCTAAAATTTCCAGCTAATTCCAGGGAATTTGAGGATAGCTTACTATACATGATGGGTAAAAGAAAGGAGATGGGACAGTAAATCAGGAAAATCTAGTCTAAATTGAAAAGAAAACAAAAGAAAAATTGTTTAGAATATTTGCTGCAGAGTCGGTATGCTAATCTGAGAGAGACAGAAAGGGAAAGTGAGAAAGCACTCTCTCCTCCCACCCAGGTGGAGATGGCCACGCCCCAGTCCCCTCTCTTCTGTTCTCCTGTCCAGATTTCTGGGGAGGCAGGCATACCACCTGGTGTGCCTTTCAAGCCACCACATCCAGGAACTGAAAAGCATAGTCAGCCATGTGGGCTGCCCCAACCACCACACTACCTCACCTGGCTGGCCCAGGAAATTAAGTTCTTAATACCAATTTACAATGTGATTATGTTTCACAGTCGGCCTAAATCCTGGATCTTAAGCTTTCTCTAAAAATCCCACTAGGACAAGTACAAACTTCTGAGATTGATTCCTAAGAAAATTTCCATTATATCACTGATATCACAGAGATTTAACCCTTAGAGATTCCTTTGGAGCCACAGACAAGAGTGGTAATCAGAGTAAGCCTTCATTCCCTTTTCACACAACCCATGGCTATCACACCACATGGCAGTGGGAAAGAAAAAACACCCAGGCATTCCATACTACTCAGTTTTTGTATATCTACACTCACTAGGTAATTTATCATCATCTGGAACCTCATCTCATTCTACAATGTATTCTACTAACCTGAACCAATTTAGCAAACCACCTTCCTTCTCAGTCCTTTCCATTGCTACATAGAAATTATAGCAAATTCTCTGCATCCTAATTCTCTAGGGAATATTTAAGGATATATTTATTTTCCCTAATTTCATAGTTTCCTGCAAAGTCTTTTCCATTACTTGCCCTAACTGAAATCTGGCCATGTCCCCAGCCTGCTTCTTCCTCTCAAAGTAAAGACAATTTTTCCTTTCACGTCCATCTATCTTAGGACCTGGAAGCTGTAAATATTTTCGACATTTCCTACTGCCTCTTTAAAACCATTTTTTTCTATTTTTTCTCCAAAAACAAAACCCACATCCCTTGAAGATCATCTGCTATCATCTTCTCTCTGATCCTTCTGATGACTCTTCATTTTCTGATAATTTATAGCTATCTTCTTATCCTGAATGACTTTCATGATCATCCATATAGATCATTAATGTGACCTCTTATTATTAGTTTCTCAACCTCAACCTCTACCTCCTACTTCCACTTCATCTTGGTCATCCATACTCATGGACATAACTTTGACTTTCTCATTACCCAAAACCACATCAACTTTAAGCATCTGGCTCTCTGATGCAGACTCCCACTGTATTTTCACCATCCCTACTTGAATACTTCCATTAAAAAATTCTTAGACATGGTGAGTTTCTAATCACCACTTCTACTACTGGTCATTCTCTGCATAGAGGCCAAAATGGTGTTCTAAAGGATAAATTAAACCATATAACCCTGTTTAAAATCCTCTAATCACGTTTATAATCTTTAAAAAAAATTATTTACCCCTGCTTCCAAAGACTTCTAAGATTCCGTACCTTGTCTTTCTCCAAATTCATTTTGTACCTCCACCTCATTACCCTGTACTCCAGTTACACTGGCCACCTTTAGTATCTTTGTGCTGTTCCTGTTGCTTAAATTATTCCTTCCCCAATCATATAGTTGCATCTTTTAGAATTCACATATTCAGAGAGGTTTTCCCTGACCAATAATCTATACAAATCTGCAAATCATTCTCTTTCACAAAACTCTATTTAAATTTCCTCATAGCATTTCTAGTTAACTGGAACGTTGTTTGCCTTACTCAGTTATATACTACTAATTATCACACCTTTAGAACAGTGTCAAGCACACAGGTCTGAGATCAAAACTGATTTTTGAATAAATGCAACTAGAACAAAATCAGCTTTATGATTGAAGAGTTAGAAAGGATAGATTTTGCCTAAGATAATGTAAAGGTATAATGCAAGAACTGGCTATCTAAGTTTACGAAATACTTCAAGAGATAGAAATGAACTAAGATATAAGTAATGTACAAGCAAAATATGCAATGTGCTAGAGGAAAATAAGTGGAGCGGTGAAGTTTTTAGTACAGTTCTGGAATATACAGTTGGATTAGTGCCGGACTATATAGAGAACACAATGAATGAACAACATATTGATGGTCACCAGAGGTGTTTGAGTAGAAAAGTGGCATGATCCAAAAAGATGCTTTAGTAAGATGACCCTAAAGGAATTGAGCAGGATGCGTCTAATAGAGTAAGGGACAGAGGAGCTGGAAAACATTCTGATCAAGAGCACAGCTGTAGGTGTTAGCTTTGAATGAATAATGCCTTTTTCTTTCCCCAGAAAACAGATGAAGATATGAGCATTCTAAGCCAGTGATGTAGGTAGAGACACTTAGGAGAAATGTAACGTTGAGGGAATGTCAGCCAAGAATCCTTGGAAAAGAGAGACCCCAAACTGCAGGGCAGCCAAGCCCATGTGGAGTTACCCACGAAAAAGCGATAGTTTGCTTACGAAGTACGAAGCTGCGCATGACTGAGAAACGAGTGACTCTGGGGAACTGTTAGGAATGAAAGAAGGGAGCTCTTTCTCGATCAAGGTTTTCCTTCACTAAGCGCCCAAATTCGGCGCAACGCACTCCTACAGTAGCTGCCCCCAGCAGAACTAAAGCCTCTGACGCCTGTGCCTCCCAGCACTCCCACAGGTATCCCGGATACTGCCAGTTGCTCCGCTTGTTCTCCGTCTCCCACATCTACCTGTCCCGAGTTGCGACACAAGCTCATGGGAGTCCTTCTCTTGGGAGCAAAGGACTTGTTTCCTCAATGAAGACCTCTTCACCGCCTCAAACGCAACCCCCACATTGCCCACGAAGCTCCACCCAGTCGGCTCCGCAGCCAGGTGAAGCCTTCCTCGGAACTTCACTGTGCGCATGCCCGGAAGCCTTACATTTTTTTCAGCCTCCGGTAAAAGCGTATTTAAAGGGACAGGAACCTACGTAAAGAAGCGCCTTACGCAAGACTTTCAGTTTCTCACAGTGTGGCGCCGCCTAGAGGAGCCTTGAGAAATTGGGGGCGGGTTGGGGCGGGGCCGGCCCTTCCTTCCTCGGAACTTCACTGTGCGCATGCCCGGAAGCCTTACATTTTTTTCAGCCTCCGGTAAAAGCGTATTTAAAGGGACAGGAACCTACGTAAAGAAGCGCCTTACCTAACGCAAGCAGTTTCTCACAGTATGGCGCCGCCTAGAGGAGCCTTGAGAAATTGGGGGCGGGTTGGGGCGGGGCTGCCTCTTGGCCCCGCCCCGCCCTGCCCCTTCCCGGAGCGCTGCAACTTGCCAGCTAACTGTCCCGGAGAGCCCAGCCCTCCCCCGTGCTCTTGAGTTCTGCGCCGGGGCAGGTAAGGAATTCCGGGCGTGAGCGCCTCCGTGGTCGCACATTGCCAGAGGTCCGCGTTCCGGCCTCGGTGCCTGTCCAGGGACAACTGAAGAACCAAAGTAGCTTTACCAACCAAGTGAGAAAAGTTAGAGAGGAAGTAGGCTGTGTAGACTGAGCTTGTTTCAAGATAGAAACTTGGGCGGGTCCCCGGGATCCGAAAGTGCGACTGAGGATGAACCTGAGGCGTGGGGGCTGGGGGGAGTCACCCAGCGACTCTGAGGCTCAGTCGGGCCTCGCCTGCGGCTTCTCTGCTCCCAGGCTGTGTGTTCCGTGAGCCGTTTGCGAAATGACAACTCTTTTACTGAGAACCAGGAAGTCAGGCCAGTGCCGGGCAGAGACGCTTGCGGCGTGGAGAGCGTTCGGAGCCTCCACGCGGTTCTATTTAAGTTGTTTCTCTGGCGTCCAAGCTGCCAGGGAATTAGAAAGTGGAGCGGGGGTGAAGGGTAGGCTAAATACTTTGGTATTTGGGAGGTGGAGAGTGTACCTGCTGATTAGGAAGCGAGAGAGGAGACAGATAAAAAGCAAACCTTTAGAACGCGAGGAATCGTTTAGTCACGAATGTTTAATCATTCAGGATAAGAACCAATAGCGCTATTAGTGCCTCAAAAAACGTATCAGAAGGAATCTAAGATCGGAATATATTAAAATCTGCCTTTCCCCTTCCTAGGGGTAATCCTTGAAGAGTTCTGTCAGAAAGTTCAGATTTCCTTTATTCTCATGTTTTCACTCGAAGGACTCATTTGAAGTTTGCTTTCTGCCTGTCCAAACCCAGTTTGCTTCCTGCCTATCCTGATCTTCCAGGATAAATTGTTCTTTCCATATCCATCTCTGTCTTAGTACATGTCAGGAAACTTGTTCAAGCCCAGAATGATGGGGCCGTTTTCTCCTGCTCCACACCAGCATACAAGAGTCTGTGGAGATGCTATATTCAGCATTTTAGGATGACGGTACCTTTTCTCTTACCACTCTGGTCCAGGCTGCCAGCACCTCCCACCTGAATCATTTGGTGCCCTCTCCTGACTGGTCTTGTCCTGCTTTGCTGTCCTCCTGTTTTAAGACATGAGTCTGGACCATGTTTTTGCTCTTAAAACTCCCGGTAGCTCCACATCGCACTAAGATAAAGGAAGTTAATACAAAGGCCATAAGCCCTAGGAGACCTTGTGCCTTTATCTCTGACTCCATCTGTGTGTGTCTGCTCCCTTTTCTCCAGTGTCACCATCTTACTGTTTCTCAATGACCGACTTCAAACCTTTGCCTTTTCTATTTCTCTTGCCCGGAACCTACCTTGAAGAAATTCCAGTGGCTGGCTATTTGAATAGCACCTTCTTACTGAGGCTCACTCTGACTGCCCTATTTAAAATTGCAACTCCTCTTTTTTTTTTCCCTCACTCTACTGGGCACCATTTAACATACTAGAGTATTTATTTATTTACTTATTGCCTATCTTCATCAGAATATAAGTTTCATGAGTTCAGGTCCCCCACCCCCAGTGTTCCTAATGCTTTGTCTCTAGGGGCATGGATCAATATCCAGCACAAAATAGGTACTTATTTGATGAATGAATTATACTATATTGATTTTTTAAAAAATATATATACAAGACAGGTGGCCGGGTGGTTAAGAGCTCTGGACTCCTACATGGTCTTACCACTTGTTTCTCACTTACCCTCCACCCCCTCTGTCCCTCCCTGGTAAGAAAAAAAGAAAGAGAGGGAGAGAGAAAGGAAGAAAGAAAGAAAAAGGGAGGGAGAGAGAGAAGGAAGAGAAAGAAAGAGGGAGGGAGAGAGAGAGAAAAAAGGAAGGAAGGGAGGGAAAGAAGAGGAGGAGAAAGAGAGAGAAAAGGAAGGAAGGAAGAGAGGAAAAGAAAAAAGGGAGAGAGAGAGAAGGGAGGGAAAGAAAAGGAGGAGAAAGAGAAAAGGAAGGAAGGAAGAGAGGGAAAGAAAAAAGGGAGAGAGAGAGAAGGGAGGGAAAGAAAAGAAAGAGGGAGGGAGAGAAAGAGAAAGAAAGAAAAAAGAAAGAAATTTAAATAAAATAATTCTTTAAAAAAGTATACAAGGCATATCACATTATTTCCCACTGATTTAAAGCAATGCCTGAGAAAGATATATTATGTTTAGTTTATGGCACAACAGTACATATCCCAGTTTGAGAAAGGCAGTCTCACATAATTTAATAGGTTTGGAAGGTAGTGCCAGCTTTTGTTTATAAATGATGTTGGGTATCCAAAAATAAAGATTAATGTTTAGTCAGCATATTTTGCTGAGACAGTGTGGAAGTGAATAACGTGTTTTAGAAAACTTATAAATATATTAAAAGTTTTATACTTGATAAAATAAGATTGCTATCATTGAAGCCGTTAGCTGTAGTCACAGATCCTTTATACCTTCTCACTAGCCCCTCACCATTTTTCTGAAAAGAGTTTGAATACAACTCCGCACACTTCTTTATTAAAAAATATCTAGCATAAGAATAACTTCTGGGAGAGCAGAAGGTGTAATGGTTTTGTTGCTGGACTCCCACGTAGTTGCCTGAGGTTTGAGTCCCAGACCTGGTGACTTGGAACTCACTCTGGGCACATGGGCCTGCATGCCCGTCCAAGATCCAGAGAGGAGAATGAAGGGATTGCTGCATGGCCATCTCCCTGGGGCAGGGGGTGTGGGGTGTGTAATTTCTCGCTTTCTGTCTCTCTGGCAAGCACATGCTCCCTATAGCATAAAACTCTAAAAAATAAAAAATAAACAAGTAAATTAATTTAAAAACAAGGAATAACTTCTGACACAACACAATTGCTTTTTTTTTTTTTTTTTCAGTGAGATTTTTGCTATAGGGCATGTGTGCTTACTGGAGAAAGAGAGACTGAGAGACAGAAAGTGAAAACTCAACCCCAGGGGGATAACCAGGCCACAATCCCTTCTCCTCCATACTCCTTTCAGGATTTTGGGCACGCAGGCACTTAACGCCTACATGACTTTTAAGTCCCTGGTCTAGAACTGGAACCAAGGTGACTTTGTGGGAGTCCAGCTGCATAACCATTCTGCCATCTGCTGGTCACAATTGTTACCTTATTTTTTTTAACCATTCTTTGTGACAAGATTAGGCCTTTTGCATTCATTATTTCTTACTATTATTTATGCTAGAGTAAATATACACAAATGGGAGAGAAGCACCCTCCACAGGGCATTATCATGTCACAATTCCCTTCCTTCATGTCACAAGCTCACCGGGATCCTCACCATGCACACAAGCACCCCATGTGTTTACAGTCATGTGACTTCTAGCTCCATCGTTCCAGCTCCACAGCTACTGACTGTGCCACAGAGGCTGAGCTTGTAATTGTTGATTTAAATTCTTACAGCAATTCTTCCAGTCATGTGACTTCAGCTCCATCGTTCCAGCTCCACGGCTACTGACTGTGCCACAGAGGCTGAGCTTGCAATTGTTGATTTAAATTCTTACAGCAATTCTTCGGTATTACTAAGTGTTCTTTTCCAGAAGAAGATACTAACTCTGTAGAAACTAATTTACTGGCTTTGGTCACAGTTGGCTATGATTAGAACCCAGCCTGTGCAAACTCAAAGTCCATCTTCCCTTCACTCCTTCCTGTGATCAGAGTGCTACTGAAGCACAGTCTTAAAACTTCGTTAATTAATTTGACAAGGATTGTTTAGCTCCTGCTTTGGGCGTACTTTTAGAACATAGATATTAATGAGAAAACATTGAATTCCTTCAGCAGACATTGATTTTAGAATATTTATTTATTGCCACCCCATATTGTGTACTTGTCTGAGTTGTCTCATTTGAAAGTATGTTATGAGGAATTAGTCATGGAGATATCTATTTATTTATTGATAAGCAATAAATTCTTTTCCACCTATATTAATCCTGAATGTTCTAAAATAAATTTTAAACAAATGAAAGCAATGATACTTTATTTTTCTGCACAGGAAGTCCTTTCATTATTAAAAATGTAGAAAAGCAAAATGAAAACAAATTTATCATAAAAATCATTATCAAGAGGCTCAGCCTGATGGCAGTTGACATCCAACTGGACTGCAGTGCTGGAAGCCACATGGTCATCTAGGACTTCAGATCTTCTAGTTGACTGATAAACATGCTGGGAGTATATGCCCAGGATCATGAAAAGCTGCAGAGTTGGAAGGGGTTGTGGGATGACAGGACCCTATCAGGGGCCCTTCTCTCTCTCCCTCTTCTTCCACCACTCTGTTCCTCATGTGTTAATTGCTCTATATTATAAATAAAGTAAGTAAATATATTTTTAAAAACAATCATCAAAAAATAACCACTGCTGGGCCAGCAGGTAGCATGGCAGTTAAAGTGCTGGATTCCCACATGGCCAACCGCAGTTTGAGTCCCAGACCCAGTGGCTTGAAACTCATGCCAAGCACATGTCCATGCATGCCAAAAATCCTTAGAGAATGCAGGAGAATGGACTGTACCA